ATCCTTTTCATGTTATTAATGACGGCGGTTCGCACATAACTCAAACGAGATAAAATGAAAAATACCCCACATGAGACGACGGAGGAAAAGAGCTGGACGGCGACAATGTAATAATAATAATATATGAAAAAAATGAATAACGCCGGCGGAACCGACAACTTAATAATAACGTTTTACCAAACGTTTATAGAACTTTATTTTTGCTCCAGATATTATATTTTTATGCATATGTGTTTGTGATAACAAAAATATAAGAAGACGGTAAGCGGGGCGGGCGCAACGGAAAGACTGCGGAATAAAAATAAAGAATATATCATAAGAAAAAAAAATAAAGTCTATTGTGAATAAACCTCGGGCGTATCGATTTTGGACATAGTGTGTGTGTGTGTGTGTGTGCACTTGCCAATGGTGGTCTGTATTATACTCAAAATATACTGCCGGTTTGGGGCCTTGGGCTTTGGCTGTCTCTAGTGTACCTAGATATATATGTAATATATATATATATATATATATATATACAATATATATATATATATATATATATATATATTACACGCGTAGAAAAGTTATTGATGCGTCCGCGTTGTGACTAATACTCGGCTGTCGAGACTACCGAGCTTTCCTATACTTATGCGAATCACTTATGTATTCGAACGGAGCGCGGCCGTGTCTTGATGTAAGAACAAGAAGTGAGATTGGACAGGGATAGGATATAGACATATATATTTCATTATAAATTATTTAGTTTTAACAAAATAAGTATATATATATATTTTTTGTTTTTGTATTATTTAAAAATAAATTTTGGTGATTTTGATTTATGTGTATGTCTTAAATTTAATATGGACATACTTTAAATCTATATTATAGTTTAAATACTTTATATCGATGGACCACTCGTGATGATAGTCAACTGTTGGATCATTATACTCTCCTGTTAGACTCTGAGAGTAGCATATTCTACGACGATTTATTATTCAATTTTTAGCCAGGATGAGTTATAATATAACTTGTACTTGTTGACCGCTAAATATTCAACGATTCGATTTACAATCGACAGCCAAGACAGCCGTTTCCGACATTGATTCGCTTAACGTCGGTTTATTCCGTTGAACTACATTGTCTACGTTTCGTACTTGGGTTTTCTGTTGGCAACATGGCAATTATGTGCAATGTAAATGATCCTTAATACTTATGTGTATGTGTGTGAGACTTGTGTGTGCTATTACACCACGTTGGTCGAGCTTATCTTGTAAGTGCACGCACATAGGTCACCATAATATAACTATTTTCATACTTTACTTGAACGCTAAAAAAGTCCTGAAGATTATGTAAGCTGACATATACTTAATAATCAAATATGAATTATGGGTTTCGAATTTGATTGCATTTTTTCCCCTGGCCAAAGCCCGTGTAATTTTATTCAATGGCGGATTGTGTGTTGTGTAAAGATTCTATGAAATGCTCAATTTTTTTTTCCCCTATACTCTTTGAAGACCCTAAAAACGACACGTATAATAATATAAACTGATTTTAAACGGTTTTGTTGTGCTTGATTTACATAGTTTTATATGTTCAATTAAACTCGGGCAATAACGTATATGCTTAACACGTTTATGTACACTAATATTACGAACTTGGCTTGTGTTTGGTTAAAACTGCGGTTGTAATAACTGTTTATTTTACGGCGTTGGGGCGTAAAATATTTTTGGCAATAATCATTGCACTCGTATGGGAACTATATCACTGCTGTTAATAGCTCAGGTGATTAGTATAATTCTTGGCAGGCAGTGTGCCTGTAATTAGTTTGGTCGTTTATTGTCAATTATTGCATTCTTATATTAATACGTACAACTTACTGTAACCTCTCCAGGCTGGATTGTAGCGCTCTTGGACCGAATAGCCAGGAATCCCGCCACGGTAGTCTGTCCCGTCATCGACTCGATCGACGACAATACTCTTGAGTATCGATATCACCAAGGATATCCTAGTATCGGTGGTTTTGATTGGAGACTCTTGGTTAGTATACAATAATAATATACCTAAAAGATTATAGGTTGATTACCTTTCACTCACAGCAGCTGAAGAAGTGTAGATTGTAAACAAATTATACTCATTAATTAGTGGACTAATTGATTTTTCTATTAAATTATAGTATTTTTTTTTCTTGTAATCTCACGACAATGTTCGTTTATTGGCTCAGTTTTTGTGCACAAGTGAATAAAACCTTTTATAAGAAACTAATGTTCCATGAGTGTCGTGACGTTAACTTTATCATACAGTATCTTATTTTATAATCCCATCGAATACCAATTTAATTATAATATGCAGCGGCACTCTGCCCACGTGTTTTAGCAATGCGGGTCGGCCAAAGCTGATATTCCGGCTTTCGTATCATAGTCATATTACATAATACAGTATTTACATTTGTAACCGCCACTGACCGTTCCTCATCTGAATATCTCTGTCGGTCTTTTTGACCCTGGACCGCGTTCCAAATATTTTAGCTATTATAAAATAATTATTCCAGGAAGTTAGATCACACAGTAAACGGTTTTCTCGGTAGTCGGATGGACGAGCGCTAATGGAAACGGTTTAACTGCACAGCGAATAGGAACCGCCATTGCGGTTGAATATTTTGGTTTCGGTGTTCTTAGGAATTATGTTAACAACGTCTTATCTGGTTCGGTCCGACCGAAAGCCACTTGAAAACTATGCCCTCGCCAACAATACAAACGTCTGTGTGTACAAGCACAAATTAATACGCAAACGGTAGTAGACAGGTTGTCCAATTGAAATGGTACCAAAATCGAAACACATTTGGTGTAAATTATACTTGACACATTCCGCTTTTTTCGAATAAAACCTTTCGTTTGGGATGCAAACCCCCCGAACGTTGTACGTACATTGCTGAAAAAACAATTTCATAAACATTGATCAACACCCAAAAATCGTTTACTGACAATGTTTGATGATGATGAATGCATTGTAGTACCTAATACGATATATTATTATGTAAATATTGTACAGTAAACAAAAGATAGACACATGCGTCGTTATTGTATGGTTTGAGACCATATTAAGTCGTTTGATGTTGCTGAACACAAACAAAAAAATGCACATATTGTTGTTTGTACTTGATGAGAGTTTCAGAAAATTGTTTTCACACAAACTCCTCTACAACCGTTGCCGGTTCGCAGTAAAATATTAATAAAACTGTATTACACATTATCTTAATACGAATAAAATAACTGTTAACTTTTGGTGGAATTTATTGTCATAATTCAAGGTAACTTCTTATATTTCACTATAAGAGCATTTTTTTTTTATCCACGGTGTTTCGATCAAAACCATGTCTCAAGCCTTATGTTACAAGTCGTTGGATTTTTTTTAAATAAAACGTATATTTACAATACGTACATAGTATGTAATTGGTTTGTAGCTTATGTAAGTGGGTTTGAACTTGTCAACGGCCTAAGTGTTATAGCACACACGGTCATTGATGATGGAAGACGTGTATATTATACGACTCCGAGGCACGTTCATATTTCATGATAATAACCGTGGTAATAGTCGACTTAAAAAAACAAATATTCAACTGCCACTACAGTGGACGGGCCCGTTTCGTCTGGATCGGCGTGCAGATAGATCCCTGTTGTCGCTCTCTTTCAAGTGCGCATAAGAACCTTTCACGACACTCACGCGACTTGGGCTCCCCCGGTGTTATTTTTTAATTGGACAAAAGCGTTTCTTTTCCCTACCAAAGTCTGTGCGTAACGCTGCTGTCGTTGTGGGGAGAGTGGAGAAAAAAAAAACGTTTGTCCGTTCCACCAAACGCGCATTTTCACAATACACACACACAAATACAATATTGCAATAACGATGCGTCGGTGTTCTTTTAGCAGTCCACTGAGTCGCAAACGCTCAAATCGTGTACCGTAGTAAAATAATAACTGTAATAATTATTGTATTTGCGCCACCAGATCTTCGAGGAAACGGCTGTGTAACGAGCTTCGTTCCTCCGGCACTTTCTTCCGCGAGACCCCCCGCCCTCGACACTGTTCACGTTATAATTATATAACACAACATATTATAGAAAACAATAATTGTCAAAAACGGCTTCAGGCGCCTCGTGTAGAGAGACAATTATGGCGATCGACACACCTGTTGATTAGTTATTTTTATTTTATTTATATAGGACTTGAGTTTCAACGCGGCCTAATTTATCCGTTTACATACAAATAATAATACATCTGTTTAACAAGTATAATGTATAGACATTTTTATTAGTTTCGATACAAAATTGAAAACTGTATTGAACGAATAATGATGTGTTTTATTTTTCTAAACTACAACTCATAATTAAAACTGTTTTGTTCTTCGGTTAATACAAAAAAAAAAAAAATTACTGTAATATATTTCTTATGCTCTATCGATTTTAAGAGCGCTATTTCAATAATACTATGCAAATCAGCTGATGTTAATTTAAAACTACTGGAAATAATTTATTCTGAAAATGTGTTAGTTGTCCGAGACGAAGCTATGCTGTATTCATAATGCATTACTTTAATCTATACTTAAAACTCCTGTATAACATTCTTGATAAAAAAAACTCATTTGCACCATTTTTTTTTCATACAAATCCTGATAAACCAGTTTATGTTCATTCGTTAATTTTTTTTTCTTTAAACAAACACAAATGCTCATTACAAATGCACAGAGGCTGCCAAAAATTTGCAGCTATTTTTTTAATACTCTTTAATACTAATTTGACCGTTATAATCGTACATGGCTTTTTTGCGTCGTGCAACTGTAAGGTGTCATATTAACTGTACGGATGACCCCGAGAAAACTCTCCTACCAACAATTTTGAAACCGAATCAAATGTGTTGCTGTGTTATACCTACTTCTACGTGTAATACTGCACCCCCAAACGGTTAATAATAATTCTGATTGTAACGTTAATTTTTTTTTTTTTTTTTGTATTCTTTCTAAATTAGTTCAACTGGCACGTGGTGCCGGACAGGGAGAAGAAACGGCATCAAAACCAAGCCGAACCCGTTTGGTCTCCCACGATGGCCGGTGGACTGTTCGCCATCGACAAGAAGTTCTTCGAACGTCTTGGCACCTACGACAGTGGATTCGACATTTGGGGCGGCGAAAACCTGGAACTGTCCTTCAAGACCTGGATGTGCGGCGGCACTTTGGAAATCGTACCGTGCTCGCATGTCGGTCACATATTCAGGAAGAGGTCGCCGTACAAGTGGAGGTCCGGCGTTAACGTGCTCAAGAAAAACTCCATCAGACTGGCCGAAGTGTGGATGGACGACTACGCCAAGTACTACTACGAGCGGATCGGACGCGACTTGGTGAGTATAGCAATAAGATTCGCCAGTCTCGAGAGTGTCTTTCTGAAGTTTGGCCGAATGTAATTCTCAAAACTCTCCGACGAGACGATTAGTCGGTTTTTTTTTTTTTTGTTGGTTTCCTCATAATGTATGTATAATAACATAAAAGGAAACCGCTGCGTTTCAGCACAATTACTTACCCCGAAGGACCAAAGTTGTTGTGTGAGCTCGGCACGTGCTTTATACACTATATACGTCATACACTAAGTAAACGTTATATAAGACTATAAATAAACCGACATAAACTTAATAGGTGTTTTATCTTTGAAAAGTTTAGCCGCGTTCGCGTTGTATGTAATATGTGTGTGTGTTTACAACAGTGGTGAATACAATTTTAAAGTAATATGTATTATTATGTCACATAGTTCGTTTGCCGGGGTTTTCTATGTTAAATATATAAAACACATAATATTCAAAAGTTAGTTGCCTTTCTTCGACGTTAATCATGTGAGTTTTATGGTATTTGTGTGTCTTCAGGGCGACTTCGGGGACATCAAAGCGCGGAAAGACCTGAGAAGGAAATTGAAATGCAAGCCGTTCAAATGGTATTTGGATAACATATACCCGGAACTTTTCATTCCCGGCGATGCCGTAGCATCTGGAGAGGTAGGAAAAATAATATATCTATGTTTGAAAGAAAATTGGAATTTATGTACAACAATATAGCTGTAGATGTCTATGATTTTCCGAGTAAGAACTTTGAGAAGTTCTTAAGTAAGCAAGTTTATTTTTCAAACTTTCCAGACTTTTCCATATGTGTTTTACCCCGTTTGATTAGAAATCACTATTTATGTCAGTGTGTAAACTTTTCCATCTTGACACGCGCAAAACAATATTATCATCATCATTCGAAATAGCATTTTTCAATGTAGGTACATCATCATAATCTGTCATTTGCGACTTTTGCCGAAGTCAATTATATTTCATTTTTATATATTATGATTTAGTTATATTATCCTTACCGTCACATCGTTGCACGGTATAATTGTTATCATATTATTTTCCTCTTTGATATAATATTTTATTAAATATCAATATCATGCAAATCAATGGACAAAATTATAGCTTATTAGAATAAAAACTGAAAAATCTGCATTAAAAAAAAAAAAAAAAGATTTTATATTTATTAATAAGTATTGAATAATCGAGTTGCCTTCATTTAAATAAAATATTAATCCAGTTTTTGACGTCTACCGACGCCGACTCGATTTCAGACTGGGATTATCTTTAATTAAGGAAAATAACTAAAAACGGCAAAATGTGTATCGCACCTTTTGTTATACCAACAATATTATTGAATTGACAAATAAATATGTATTATTATATAATATGTTTAATATTATTATTGTGTTTGAAACATGTGTGTGTGTGTGTGTTGGGTGTATTAGGTGCGGAATTTAGGATACGGCAACAAAACTTGTCTGGATTCTCCTGCTAGGAAGAGTGAGCTCAACAAACCGGCTGGACTTTACCCTTGCCATAAAATGGGTGGCAATCAGGTTGGAATTTTGAGTGATATTTATCGTGGGGCCCGATTGCCCGCAGGTCGAGCCGGTGCGCCGTTTAAATCAACATCAGCCATCCTTGTTTCCTTTGCTATATATCTCTATCCTTGTCCATGTTAGGGGGGGGGGGGTAAAAGGGTCGAAGGTAAATTTATTAGCCACAGAAAATACACTGGAAAATACATTTTCAATAATTGTGTACCGATTTTGCGAGGTATTACCTACTACCACCACCTGCCGTTCGCGTTTAATGCATACAATTATATATTCTTTTGGTTTTTCGTGCACTTTTTTTAGATAAAAAACGCAAACTCAAATATGTGCATTGACTTAAACTCGGACGTGAAGTACAGTGAAAAATTTACCAATGTGTGGGAATGTCACCACCAAGGTGGCAACCAGGTAAAAAGCACTTTTGCCACTATCGCCGATTGAACAACTTTTTTTGTTTCTAACATGGAATATGTTTATGCGGGCATACCCAACCGAACGCGAGATTATGAGTGAAATTAATTCAACCGATATGGTATTTAGCTACAGGAATGCTGACTGATAATAAGAAGAGCAAATATTATACATTATTCGCTCGTTTGAATAGTGCAGAGTCGTAGCAATTACAATAAATAAACATATTCTATGCTTTTTTAAGAGCCAATCATTATTCGTCAGTGGGATCACCCTGTATAAAATACCGATTCAAGCAGCAACATAGTAGCGTTAGGTTAGTTAGTTTTTTTTATTTTTTATCCACCGATTGACTGTTAAATTCTAAATCCGTGAACCGTGTCACCGAGTATTGTCATGTACGTATGAAATACAATTAATATCATAATTCTGTTTAAATGGATTTCCGCTGTTATGCATGGACACTGTTAAGGGTTGTAGTTAATTATTCGAAAAAGCTTATTTTCTTATTTTTACCTCGTCCCATATATCTTATCCGTCTGTAGTTTTCACTCCATCTCAGACATGCAGAGATTCGTTTATCTTCCTTAACGTTAACTCCTATCTCATTTACTAATATACTGCGAATGCAATAATATTATGTTACTTCTCCTTGGGTCGTCCCGTGTCAGTTGGTTGAACCGTGTACTTGGCCGATCTGTACAGTTGAGCTGGACCTTCTTCTATAAGAAGAAGGCACACTTTTAATTATACTAATTGTGTCTACTTTACTCCAATGCTATTCTAGTACTGGATGCTTAGCAAAATGGGAGAGATCAGACGGGACGAATCGTGCTTGGACTTCGCCGGCACCGATGTAATCTTATACCCGTGCCACGGATCCAAAGGCAACCAATATTGGAAGTACAATGCTGATGTAAGTACACGACGCTTGTATATTATACGGTTTCTAATTAAATAGTTACCTACACGTCTAAGAACACAAATGGTAAATCTTTAACGGGATACAAATTATTTTACATTGATTTATAATCAAAACGGATAAATAAATGTATTTGTAAAGTAAACAATTAATTTTAACCGCATAATTTGAATTTTGGTGGTTAAACTCAAAACTATAAATTACATATAGGAATAATTAATAATATAATATTTAATCAATTAATAATATATTCCTATGATCGATTGAGTTTTTAAATAATAACAAATAGGGCTTGCACGTTTTATACCTAAGGCTAGTAGGCTATAGTATAGAATTCAGAAGATAAAAGTCATGAACTTTTCATACTTGACTTTGTCAATATAATAACTATAGAGGTGTTGTTGTTATGGTATAGTAAAATATTTCGAGTCGTTATCGCGAACAATGGGACAATATGCATTGAACGGCCGTTAAAAACAGCATTCATACTTGACTAGAATAAAGAAAGTATGCTTTTAACGATAATCGTTTCTGCAACGCCAACGTTGTTTCAGTTTAGTTTGAAAATATTTTTCAACGGTAAAAACTATTGTTGTTGTTGTTGTTATTTTTTTTTAATGGATAAAAATATATTACATCAAGTTTTACGACCCGAAACGGTAAAACTGCCACAAAACAACATAACGTGCAATTATTATGAAATTATTATTCTATTGCATAGCCCAGACGTGATTGTATCGATTTCCACGCTTGACCTTTAATAAAATATTACGGGTTCGGTAATCTATGCACTATAAGTTAAGTAAGTTATTTTATTTATTAAAAATATGGGATATAATGAGATTTAAAAAATAATAATTATCTTAATCGTTTTCCAATTAAACGAAGGTGAGTAGTTCATCTTATACCATTCACTTGATAATTTTAGAAATTCTTTACTATAACCGCATTATATATTGTTTTTATTGGAAATCATCGTTGGCTGAATCTTTCATCAGTTGATTTCACCTTATTAATCAGCCGATTTCCATATATACACCGTGTAGATTTTTTTCAAAATCATATACCGTGTACTGAAGAGGTCAAAAGGCGGTTGTCCTATGAGTAGGTACAATGGTTTGGTTAGGCAATGATGAAAATACAGTTATAGTTACAGAAATTACAGTTAGCCAATCTAAGTTAGTCACTTGTGTAAAAATACAAGATGATTTTTATTAAAAGGTTTTCAGTGTATTAAACGAGCACGAATTTCGAGTATTTAGGTATGTTTCGACAACGTCACATAATCTACAGCTTAAGCGGCGTAACGTCTCGATTATATTAACTGTGCGATGCTCTACCTAAATAAGTGCGTTATAAATTCGTCGTAGTTGTTAATAATTCTGTCCTATTCCATATATTATTATTATTATTATTATTATTATACCTAAATTTTAACCACTATTCTAGTAGCGTGTGTACCGTCGTTGTTCTCGTTAAAACGTATTTAATATGTATATCTTGTCTTGTACTTAAACGTACTCTCAAACTAAATTCTAACAGTGTAACGATAAGTTTCCGTTTATGTTTAACGTTCAAACAACTTACGCTCATGAGATATTCAGATAATGAAATGTACCTACCAAGTAAGGTTGAACTCTCAGGTTAAACAGTAAATACACAATATAGAAAAACTAATACAACTAAAAATCGTGTGACCAGAAAAATAAACTTGGAAATTTGGTTTCAAATAATATGCTCAGTTAACTTGTTCAAGTGTTTCTAAGTTAAGTTTGCTATTGCGTCAAGAAGTTGTTGACACATTGGTAGTAGGTCAGCTGGTCATGATAGGTTAGGTTATATTAGCTAGGTAAGTTTTGGTAAAATTTTTGCTTGATGTTTTTTGAAAAGGATTTATGCACATTGTCTTGGAAACCCATTACTGTTAATTACACTTTTTTTTTAGTTGGGCAAAAACAATATTAAATTCAAATTTTACATTGAACATTAAGTCATTAAATCTTTTATCGAATTTGTTAAAAATAAATAAGGATATTTAGTATCCATGTCCACCACGACCGTGACATTTATAATGATATTGAAACTTTTATACTAACAAACGTTTGAAAATGTTAATTTTGCTGGTTTGCAGACAAAACAGCTGAGGCACGGCAGCAGCAGGAAATGTCTTGCGATCAACACTTCCAGAGACAAATTGGTGATGGAAGAGTGCGATGCACATCTGAGCAGACAACAATGGCTGTTCGAGAACTTCGACCCGTCCAAATCGACCGAAGGCCCCAAGAAGCAAAAAGACTACTGACGATCAAAATAACCGCTGTCATACGTGTTGTTTTTTTTTTTTATTTTTATTTATTTAGTTGATCAAAATTTCCGTTATACATAGTACAAACCCTTGTCGCGGGAGGGTTGTAATTGTTTTTTTTTTTCGTTGTTTTTCTATGTATGTCAAAGACATTATTCGTACGACATGACATCTGTGTAATTGTTTGTTTATTTATAATGTTTATATATTATATCCTTATTTTTTTTTTTTAATCACAACTTACCCGAATATCAACATCATATTTTATCGATGTACTTAATCAGTATTACCTTAAACGAACAAAAAAAAAATAAATAAATAACATTCCATGACATATCCTCCAACTTATTATCTTTTATTTTGTATAATTTCAAACCCTAGCCAATTATAATATGCATTAATTATACGAATATTATTTATTGTTATAATATAATGTATGGGTTTTCTTTTCGTTGTACATACGCATCTGACGAAGTATCATTAAGTATTTAAAATTGAATATATTAATTATATATCATTATTATCAAAATATATACATTTATATTTATTTGTATATTTTAGAAAAATAATGATCAATGTCATCTTTATACGCTCTCTCTCTCTTTCTAATTCTTAGGAATTTTTTCTACATGAACAATACAATTTACTACTTGAACATAATACTTATTATTTATATATAAAAACCTTTTCAACTGTTATTTATATATGTGTAAAAAAACTATAATATATTAAGAAAAAATATTTAATAAACTCGATCCCTCGTCTTAGTTTGTTGCCCTTTAATTGTTGTTTTAAACGGAACGATTCATATTGATCATTTGTGTGTTTAATAGTTTTGTTTTGTTTGCTCGTTATTAAAAACTACAATCATAATTATTGTATTGTGTCGTTTTACAATGTATAAAGCAAACGTGTTTTAAATGAAATGGCTACTTTGTTGTGGCTGAATTTTTAGCAAGGATTTTTGGTGTACCAAAGTACAGCTGTTGATGAGTAGACCATTTCGATAAATAGAAAAAGAAAATCAGAACATAATTTACACTTGGGACAACATAATATATTTTTGGTATTATAAACAGAGAAACTATGCATAGTACCTATGTACATGAAAATAAAATACAACATGGTTGACAAACAACCCGACAAATTTCAATGAAAAAATTATAATTGTTTTGACCAGACTGATAGGCTCTACAAACAACATAAAAGTATGTGCGTGATTTTCAGTGGTAAAAACATGTTCAAACAGACTGAAAATAACTTGCTTAATTTTGGTTTTAGAGTAAAAGCACCCATTATAAAATTAAAAGAAAACAATATTTCGGAGGTGCGTTTTTTTAAAAAAATTAATTTTTTGGAAAGTTACAGTCATTTAAAAATGTTAAAATAGTCGTTATTTCTAAACTATGTATTGAGCGTTATACATATAATAATGAAAAAAACGCCACCGTCTTGCCCTCCGAAATATTGTTCCCTTTTAATTTTATAATGGGTGCTTTTACTCTAAATCCAAAATCAAGCGAGTTATTTTCAGTCTGCTTAAACAAGTTGAGATGAAAAAACATTTTTAAATCGCTTTCAAGGATGCTGTGATAGTCCAAAAAATAAATTAACTACCAAACTAGAGTCCTAGTTATTGAGCTAATAATTACACATCACAGTTTAACCTTTAAATTAAGATTTTGTAAAAAATTGCCTATACTTTACTCCATAAAAATGGGCGATGCGACGCCCTCTTAATCTATATACATCTAGTTGTTGTACTTTAACCTGTTAACGGCATTGTCTTTATGGGTGATTTAAAATTTGCGCCAATAGCAGTCGCAACGTTACATTGGCAGGGCGGCATTTCTCTTTAAAATCATTTTTACCTAGTTTTTTTTTTTTTTTTAAGAGTCCTGTGCAACAATAACGTTATAATCGAGATGGAATTTACCTATATGCTCGTGCCGGAAATTAAAACTCGGCTTACAATAATAATATATCCAGTTTTGAGGGCGACCGAGTAAGCAGAAAAAAAAATATGACCCTTACTATATAATATACTCTGTCAGGAAACAACGGTCGAATTAATACCGCGCTGTCGAGCATACCCTTTTTAAACACAATCTCATTGTGTAAGTTTAAATTACTCAAATATATTATTATCACGTATGTACCATTACTCGCAAATACAATACGAAATACCCAAACAATGTATGACGCATGAATAATATTGTTATATTCGATACAGTAACTAATAAAGATTGGACATTTCTCTTATGAAATGTTTTTTTTTTTTGTTTAAAAAAAAAAAAGTAAATTATATAAATCGTCAATTTATCGACACCCTAGTTTAAATGTCCAATCTCAAAAGTGTTAAAAACAATTATTATTGTTGTCAGCTTCAATATATTATTTTCACTTGTACAAGGTGTGTGATAAATATATTTTTATCGAAAATTTCCTAACCTGAAAAGCACAAGCGACCAAGTGTGTCCATTGTGTATATTTTCTTATTTCCAATAGTAGCCGCAATAATTATAGTGTCAACTGATTAGGTAACACCAAATAATATACAGGTTGTGGATTTAGTAGCCACAATATTTGATAATTATTAAATAAACAGGATAAACTACACATAGTGTAGTTAAATTATCTTCAACTGTTGTCTCGATATTGTTCAATTTAACAACCAGTGTCGGATTTGAGGGGGGGGGCGATGGGGCGATCGCCCCCCCCCCCTTGGTCCAAATTTTGGCCCAAGAAAAAAGTGGTTGTAATAAATTTCGACCATGTCAATTAATTTACCTGTTAATTCGTATAAGCTTCATGATATTATTTTTAATTTAAATAATTTTGTCTATGAGTAAAACCCATTTTAGTTGATAGAATAGTACATTTTTTGTTCCGTCACTGAAAACAGATTTGGATTCGTCATGAAGTTTACTTGAGATCGGTCAGTGTATTTTTTTTTAATTAAATCAAATTTGGAAAGGGATACTATAAAAAATTTCAAAAAGTACTCTGACCGATGCTAAGTAAACTTCATGGCGAATTCAAATCTGTTTCCAAATTACTTATCGGCCACTGGTTCGGCCTGTGCGATGGACAAAAAATTCTGTGTTTTGTCTGAAAAAAGGGCCGGTATCGAATACCCTTAAATGTAGATGATATTATTGAAAGATTTGCTAAAGAAAAAAAAAAGATGCATTGTTTTTATATTAAAAATATCTGAGTATTGTACTTTACTTAATTATAAGTATGTATTTGAATTTAAAGAAACTTGTTGTAGCTATTTTCTATGAAAGTTTATTGGGTCAAAATTAAACTGAATTAATAATGATTCATTAAAAAATAACTAATCAAAATAATTAATACATTGTAACATATTTTTTAGACAATAATTAAAAAAGTAAAAAACAAAAAAAAAGGTAATTGTATTACACCCACAAAAAAAGAAAATTCGCCCCCCCCCCCCTTGGAGAACCCATGGATTCGCCACTGTTAACAACACTATTGTAGTACTATTGGAATATTAACATACTTACATAGATTATCTTGACTCGTCTATGTAAATATTGTAGCATTGACATAGTGTTAGATTTTAACTTTTAAATAGTAATATAAACCTACAGCGGCGTTGTGTGAATCGTTCAATATAGTGTTGCAAAATATTTTTTTAATAGTTTAATGGTTTTTTTAATGCTTCCAAACCCCCTTGACGTTTTGCAACAGTCTGTATTTGAAAGGTTAAATATTTAAACTGCTTACCACGGCGACAGCGTCTTTGCAGTTTTCAAATAAGTGTTAATATTTCAGCTAGGCTATGACGTACCTAACGTTGTTTTTATTTCGAAGAAATGACAAAATGTATTAATTGTTTGGAAAAATCTTTTTTTCGAAAAGCAACACAATATAGAAAAATAGACGTTCGACAAAATCGAAATGACAATAATAATAGTAGGCAATAAACCCGCGGTTGAAAAATGAAAATATAATTTTAAGCATAATATACAGGTATACATTACACTATGCGAAAATAATATTGCAAACTGCGCAAAACCCAGGTTCGACGTAGGCGCGGTGATACAATTTTAGGGAATATCTCAAAAGTGGTCACACTGTACCGGATCCGTGTGGAGCGTCGTTATCAGCTAAAGGCCGAGGAATTGATTGATAAGCGATAAGAAAACATTATTTTAAGTTGTTAACTTTTTGTTTTTTTTTCAACTTGCCGTCTGCTGATTTACACCACTTACGGCAACAGCAACAGCAGCTGTCTTGATTATATTATAGTTCTTGCGATAAGCACAGTGGATTCTTGTTGTTAATTTTGTTATTTATATCATATTATCGGTGTGTGCAAGTGCAACGCGACTCGTTATGTTTTTTCCCTATTATTATCGAACCGAACTGTAATTTGTCGTGCCGCCTCCGTTGTAAAAGCTGTCCGCAGCAACGTCATGTGCTATTGGTTTTTTTTCTCTCCTAACTACTAACCGGTTGAATATCAATAATTTTTTATTATTCGTCGCGTCTCTTTACGCCGCCGATCGTTTCGGACAAAACGCGTATTTTGAAAACGAGCATTTTGTTGGTAACGTCAAATATATTACTACCCTAATAACGTTATGTTAATTACTAATAATTGCCGATAAACGATATTGTATGACTTCGATTATTATCGATTGAATATTTGTTTGGTTTTTAGCTTGAGTGATGGTCAACTACGAAAAGGCTGTAAATTATTCACATTTGACTTACAAGACATCCCCTAACGGTGGCATGACGACTGAGCCACAAATGGCCATAGTGCACCCGGAAGACCCTAATATACAGTATTCTCCGTTTGTGCTGCGGACACCGACCACAGAAATAAACGGAATGCCGTCTTGTTTGCCTAAAAACAATTGCATTCATCAACAGAATATGTACAACAGGCCTCCGCCTCATGTGTGCGGTAGTTATGACATGTCACCATCGACAGGGCCAAAATCTAGATCTTATAGGTATACGAAAAGATCTCTGGAACCAAAACAAGTTGACTATGCGGCCAGATTATCAGTAAGTTTTAAATTTTACAAATTAAATATAAATTTTATAAAAATACTATTTCCTACCTATAGTAAACCTACCCGTAGTAAGTATTCTAATTACAGCTGTAAAGTGTGGGCCAAATTTTCTTAATCCTAGTCGAAGTAACACATAAACCCACTAGAAAATATTTTAAAGATTAAAATTTTAATATTTTATGGGTTAAACACCTTGAAGCGTTTTTTTTTTATAGTTTATTTATTCCAAACTAACAATAATACGTTTTTCTTGAAATTTGGTTTCTTAATTAAATTTAAGCACTAGATGATGCTAATGTGAATTTGCCTTAGTGTTGTTATAAAAAATTATTCAAATTGTTATTTATTATTGTACAAAAAAAAAATGTTGATCAGTATAATTTTAAAATTCAATAAATATTATGTCATAATCTATAATTGCCTTTTCTGTAATTATATTAGAACATAATTTTATTTGTTAAGGAAATAAAATTGGATAAAGAAAAATCGCCCGTAGCCAAACTAAATGAAATCATGGCAATACAAAAGTTTAACGTCGAATACACTTTAGTGTCAATGTCAGGACAAGTTCACAGTCCACTTTTTACGTATCGTGTTAAAGGGGGTGACATGGTCGGTATGTATACACACAAATGTTATACTGTAAAATTGTTTTTAATTAATGTCAGTACAAATAATATTTTAATTCTTTTTAGTTTACGGTACTGGCAAATCAAAGAAAGACGCTAAACAAAATGCAGCGATTGAATATTTGGAAAAACTTGACTGTGCTGAAAATAATGCAATAACATCAACGACTCGCAATCGTTCATGTAGCCCTACAGTGTAAATATATTTTTTTAAGTATTTATTAGCTTGTAAATAGGCAACACATTGTTTTTAATCTTATACATAATTACATAATGTGATTATAATTCAACTTAAATGATTAAAAAATATACTGAACAATAATTACCTACCATATAATTATGATTATACAATAGTCACAGTTCAAAACTTGGCCCTTAGACATTTTCTCTCTCTGGCGAGTTATTGTTTAGACAAAAAAAAGTCCATTTCATTTCTAAAGCCGGTCCTACACGACTCGTGTACTTGACAATCGTCGTCATCGCGGATGCTTGCAGAATTATCGTATTTCGTGTGACGAATATAGACGATGAACTCCGAGTCGTGTGAGAATCTCAGCAATAGTTAATAAGAACATTTGTTATCCCTTTGACTCGTATCACAATTACCATTATTTTTGTTGCTAATCTAATGGTTGTAAACACAAAAGAAAAACAGATTTATTCTCGTGTGTAAATAAAATAATATATTTTTTATTGTTTATCATAATACATATTGACTAAACAGGGAGAAATTTGACAAAATATATTATCAGATACAATTCTTGGATACACGCCTATATACTTTAAAGAAATGAGAATTGGAATTAATTTACAAAAACCAGTATAGAATTTAACTTAAAAATAAGCTTTTTACTTTTGAATTAAAAAAAAAAAAAAATGTCTGTAATATATTTGAAATTAATTATTTGTAGTTATGAAGCTCCTCAAAAGATAATGGACACCAAGTCGGACATTAATCCAATTGGAGTACTTCAGGAACTATGTATGGCTCGACACTGGCAACTTCCCGAGTATGATTTTCCTCAAGAAGATATTATTGGCGAACCTCATAATCGTTTGTACCGAGTGACATGTACAATTTTGACTTACAGAACTCAAGGTAGATAAAATTATACTACACAAGTGTGCATGTGAATAAAATTTGTTGTATTAATTATAGGTGAAGGCAAAACGAAACAAGGGGCTAAACGACAAGCAGCGAGGTTTATGTACGATTTAATGAAAAATTTATCACGGGAACAGATTGAGGATCTTTCTTATAACGAGCCATCAAATCAGACATCCGCCAATGAGATATCTTCAAAAAAACAGCCGTTGGATATCAAAAAGGAACCGATGCAGTTTGTGTCGACGGACGCTTTGAAACAAGTGGAAAAGTTTTTCAACCAATTGAAAAAATCAGAGAAGCCGTGTTTAAACGCTTTAAATGTAAGTATAGTGATAATAATAAATGTTGTACAGATTGCCTTTATCGAGATAAAATTGTATTTTAATTGTTATTATTCTTATACATATTGTAGAATCTGAAATCGTTAGACGAGTTAAAACCTGGTGCGGTCGATCTTTTAGACAAAATTGGAAATGAAGAAGGTTTTCGTACTTCTTATGTCATGTTGTCTAATAAATCTAGTAAGAAACAAATTTTTTTTGTTATAATTAAATAAAATCGAATTAATGTATTATTTATTTTATTGCGTTCTTCTTTAGATCATGTCACAGATATCATGGTACAAGTTTCCATCAACCCCGTTATGGTGTACGTCGGTTCCGGAGCGTCGATTAGTGAAGCACAAGAAGCAGCAGCTTTTGCCGCTTTGGTCTATTTTAAGCTAATGCTTGAAAAATAAATGTTTGTTTTGTATTGATAATTTTTCACACCAAAAACTGTGCAATTTAATTGAAGAATTTACCATTCAAATAACCAGTGTAACTGAATCATTTTTCTGTATTAATAATTTTTTGATAAGTTGGCTTAAAAGTTATATATAACCCAACTTTACCAGTTTGTAATTAATTTAGTTATTTATAATATGTTTGTATTAACAATTGGCAACTATTATAATTGGGTAAAAACCAATTCACGTAGTTAGTGATTTTCAACATTAACAGTATTTTGCTTGTATTTAATTAATTTATGTAAAATATGTTATTATGATATGTTATATTACGATTGTGTTACAGTTACAGTGTAAAGTTATTATAAAGTATTTTCTTTCCATTATTCTAAATAAAAAATATATATATCTTTATGTTGTTAAATATTGTATTATTGTTATTTTTCTCAAGAGAACATTTTCGTGTCCCAAAATTTATGATAAGAAATAAAATAGATTTAAGTTCATTGAACGCGTGGAAAATTATAAAATCTATTACTTATGAGCTACACTTGAACAACTTTCAGACTCATTACTAGTTTTAAAAAAAAACTCATTTCATTTATTGTAAACATTTTACTTTTAATTTAAATAAATATTCAATTTTTAACGTAATCGGTTCTTGCCTTTGGGGCATAGCATACACTTATTTTTAAACTTAGTAATAAGTTAAATAATCACTTGGTGTGTGCTTATCCCAGTAAACTTAATCAAATAATATGTTGTTTAGCTTCGAATAGTATTTAATTTTTTTTTCCGTAGGCGGATGTGTCTTTTGATTTATGCACAAAATGTACCGTTGCCCATATAAATAATGTACTTGATTCTTTTTTTGTCGGTTGAAAATTAATTTTTTGAAATTTTGGCTAGATGTAAATTTGTGTAGGCTAGTTTTTTCCGATGTACCTACCTACTTGTGTGTGTTATTTTTTTTACATAAATATAATAATTTATTATTGTAATATTATAGCACATATGATTGTGCATAAGGCACATTCGATAAAAAAAAGTGTTTTTTTCATAGCGTTGTGTAGAATGTATAGTGATGAGTATATTTTTCGTTTGTTTTTATCATACTATCTAATTGTATGTTGCTCAGATAATGTCTAGTCTGAAAGTTAGTAGTATGGTTCAATTGACCGGTTTCTCATTTAATTTCACACATTTAATCACTTGTAATTATTATTGTTTCGAAGACGTTATCATAGTTCTATAATTTTTGTTTCCCAAACAGCCCCTTGGATTTGGACCTAAACGGTTTTCTTGACTTGAACATTGTTTTTTAGCATGTGGTAAACCGTGCAACTGCTTTTCAGCTCCACGTCGAAAATAAAAAAAAACAGAATGAATAAAAGTACTCTTAACTAAGTAATCAAACTGACAAAACAAATCTCTTGATACGATTAGTCTCTGATTAATCAAATTCCCGACATGGAACAAGATAGTCTTAAGAGTATGTTTTAGATGAGATTCATCGTATAATGATAATATTTAGGGAAAAATATCTCCCAAGCATGATTACTATCATCAAGTAAATGTGTATAATTGTAATTAATAAAACATATTAACTAAGATATTAATTTTCCATGATTTCCCAGACCATTTAAATTATAGTTAGTGTAAATTGTGTTTAAGTACAATTTACTTTAAAACAACATCTTCTATGGAATTCAATATTTATATTTTATGGTACCTATACTACATGAAAGTATGACATGATTTTTACTACGCCACAATGATATGTTTCTTTTAGTGGGTTTAATTTGTATACAAAGTATAACACTAAAAATTACTATCGGAGAATGAATTGTATTATATTACATCTGCTTTCAAGCTGAAATAATTAGAATATCAAGGTAATATAAGGTATTAACTATACTGAACAACTCATTTTTGGAACAAGAACTAACCAAAATATATTTATATTTTGTTGGATATATTAGATACCTACCTGAGATTTTGTAATTATATTTTAAATCACCTACAAAATTGAAAAAAACTCTCTTCAGTGGCATTTTCAGTGTGTTTTGTACGTTACAATAATTTCTAACATTTATTTCGAACAGTTTTATTAACCTTTGTTTGGAACTCAGAATTAATGTAGAATTTATAATTTTTTTATACATAAAGAAAATTCTGATTTTTGTTTTACGTTGTGTACAATTTTGGAGGCGATTTAAAATTGACGAGCTGTGACGAATTCGGAGACTAGGGTAGGATTCAGCGAAAGAAAAACCTAAATAATGTACCTATATATTATTTATGGTTCTTGTTCCAAAAGAGTGTCAATTTGTATTGTACAGCGTTATCTATTTTTATAAGATTTAAACCACACAAAACATGTTTGTTTATTGAGTACAATAAATAAATAATCGAATGTACACGTATTTTTTTTATGTTATCATTAGCTATTGATACATACATATAGTGTAAATTTTTATGACTTTGGTAGGTACCTACCTACGTATCACTGGCACATAATTGATTATTAACTATATAATATATATGTATATATATATACATTTAATAAATTACATAACTTTACAAACATAGCGGCCCGGCGGTCATCGTTGATCATTCATGTTTGATCTCTTGCGGCAGTCGTCTGAATTTGGACTCGGGGCACTCTCGTCGTCCCTGCTACCGCATTCCCGGGCTCCACGGGTTCTCTTGGCCGTCGAGGAGTTGCCACCGATGTCGATGTTCGGTATGAAAAGCCTAAGGGCGTTTGGTCCCGTGGGAAACTTGACCGCCGCCGCCGCCAACGTCTTGGGGTCTTCCGCGCCGGCCGCCGTTTCCGCCGATGGAGGTAATTTGGTGACCAGGTCTGTGGCGTTCATGGTCACTTCCAGAGACCGCTGGGTGACCACCTCTTGGTGCATGTCGAACGCCTTGACGAGTTGCGCCACTGTAAACCTGCAAAGACGAACGGGGTCTTGAAAAAAAATATATTATAACGCTTGCCGTCATCACAAAGCACTAACCGACGACGACAGGGTGGGGGGGGGGGGGGCGACCGACCCCCACATCCGGACTTTTTCCCCGGTAAACTATTTGCATATATATAAATTAACCCACTTGACGTCCAACCACCTTCCCCGGCAACTTTTATCGTTGAAAACAAACTACACGTCCAACGAACGAAAGGGTTGACAATCTACCACTACCCACTGACACTCACATAATATTATACCATTGTTGATGAAGTCGGCCTGTGGGCAGTTATCGAGTGACTAGCCACGTTAATTATTTATGGGCGCGATCGTGTAGGAGGCTATCCGGGCTGACCAAAAATATCGCGTTGTTTCAATATTATGTAATGTCAATAAACGCGTGCGCGCTGCAAGTATTAAATTATCGCATAACGTCGGATTCTGGATGTAGATCGGATCTATATAATTTATAGTACCCGAACGCAGTGGAGTTAATTGAGATTTACGAGAGCCGAGTTTTTTTGAACACACAGTGAAAAAGTCGGGTGGGCGCCGACAACTGTCCGTCGCTAGGGTTTAATTTCGATTAGATTTTATAATGACGGTAATCGTTTGAACAAAATGGCGATAATCCAACAACGAATGTGACGAAAACATATAGTTCAATTTAATTGTATATGAAAATAATTGTAAGCCAATCAAAAACAGAGTAACGGTTGCACAGACACACAAGAAAAGAGTGTTTTGCGGCCATATGTATTTGCGCACAATGCACAGGGCATAATGGCAACTGATTTATTACGCAAGTAAGACAGCGGTATAGGACACGTACTGTTGAACACATTAGGATCGTTACATTTAAAAGAATGTCCGAAAAATAAAGGCAACTTGATTCTCCAATAGATTTGTCGCTTTGTCCCGACCAAACGGTTAGGCCACTGATCTCATAATGTAATTTGAAAAAAAATTTGTTTATTACCTAGGTTCTTCGTCCGAATGGTAAAAATGTTCGACGCTACTCGATCCGCTGCTATTGCTCTCGGCCGGCGAATCCGGTCTGGGAACTTCGCCGTTTCTAGCCACGTTTTCTTTGTCGTCTTCTTCGGTGCCGACTACGGGGTCGTCGGTAGGGTCTTCGGGTATGTGGCTCTGCGAAACCGATATGTTGGCGGTGGACGAACACAGCGAGTTCGGCAGCGTCGACACCCCGGTCAGGCTCATCAGAAGGCTGCCGACGGTGGCGATTTTGTCTACTTCGCTCAGGTCTTTGATGCTCTTGCACACGTCCAGCACGTCTTGGGACCGCGACAGGCTTTTGAGCCCGTACAGCTTCTCCTTGGACTTGCTGAACGTCCGGGGCGCGCCGTGCCGGTCCCTGGACCGGGAAACCAACGAGGTGTGGCTGGACGCGTGCTGCGACTCGCTGAGCAGCGCCGACCTCTTGAGATCGTTTTGCCGCATGTGCTTGGACACGATCTTCTCGAAAAGCGCCTCGCGAGACTTGGACAAGTACGACTGTTGCAGTCCCGTGCGCCTGGTCGCCGACACCGGGTTGGCGCACGCGTTACAGCCCGACCGTCTGCCGCCGGTTGGCGCCGATGCGGCGCTGCTCGCCGACGACGACTTCCTCAGGTTGGCCAGCCACGGGTGTTTCAGACACTCTTTGGCCGTCAGCCTCTCCCTGGGGTCCCTGACCAGCAGTTTCCGGATAAAGTCTACCGCCTCGGCCGATACGTCTTCGAACAGCTCGTCCGGGAAGTCGATGTCGGCGTTGGATATGTTGCAAAACGTCTCCTGGTCCGTCTCGCCGCCAAACGGGCTGAATCCGGTCAGCAGAGCGTACGTCGTCACTCCCAACGACCTGTCAACGTAAACCGATCGTTATCGACGTTACAAACCGTAGCATACAATTACTAACAGCTATACAACTACTAACGAAGCATGTACAACTCACCACATGTCTGCGGCTAGCGTGATGGGCTCGTAGTGCAGAATCTCCGGGGCTGTAAGCACAAAGAAAAAACGGGTTTTTTTTTTTAATGTAAACGCGCGCAAGTCTTAGTACGCCGTCTGGTGTACTCACCGACGTAATCGGGCGTCCCCAGGATCTCTCGGATTTCGGCTCCTTCCAGGATGACTCTGGATATCTCAAAGTCGCACAACTTGACGTCGCACGTGGGAAACGCGCCCATCAGCACCAAGTTTTGGGGCTGCAACAAACCAAAGCGGATAAGTTTCAGACACATTTCCCCACGGTATCTATAACGGTCGCTTCACTCTGTCTTGATCGCCATGTTTTTTAAAACTATTAGTATGTTTTTCGCATAAGAGAGATCACGAATTACGTTTCCTTCCGCACATTTACATACAAACTCGGTGTCGACAATGCACACGACCAATGGGCGGCATACACAGTCCATTCGATTTCAAGGGTAGGACAATGTTGAATATGGATTTATTTTTTTTACCGCGGTCGTCAGGATAAAATGACCTTGGTCCAGGTATACGATACCATGCCCTCTCGGGTTGCAACGAGATCGTGATGTCCGTTCTGTTTGTGCTCGTGGGTGGCATTTGTAACACACAGATAACGCCACATTTGGATACGGACCGTTTCAGGAAACGTAATAGCAATATATATATATATATATATATACACTCTATAGTTGACTATATCCGACGCAGCGTCCCCAATGTCATATTATTTTTATGACTTTATTTTTTTATCAAAACCTTGACACGGCTGTTTTAACAACGTCTGCACTTACTTTAATGTCTAAATGAGCGATTTTCCTTTGGTGCAAATACGCCAAGCCCTCGACCACGTGATGGACGAACTTGACCACATCGCCTTCGAACGGCACGTTGTCGTCGTCGATGACTTTCTGTAAGTCGCCGCCCGGGGCACTGAAATCGATATTATAACAATATGTAATCACTGTTTACAAAACGGTGTAGCTAAACCAGAAAAGGCTTGTCAGGATGTCGTTATATATATATACAATGTATATATAGACTGTATGCTCACTATTCCATAACGATGATCAACTGTTTGGGCGTTTGAAACACATCGTGCAGCTTGGTTATCCGTGGCGAAGGCGAACACAGGGACAACAGGGCTATTTCGTGGTGTATGTCTGGACTGCAGTCCTCGCCGAACCTGGTGCGGTTCGAAAACTTGGCGGCAAAAACTTCTCCCGTCGCCAACGACGTGCACCGTCGAACCGAAGCGAACTGACCTCTGAAAAAATAAAAATAAACGGCCCGATCAATATTATTTTAAATACATAATCATAGCCATCTAATGGCAGGAGCAGTGTCGTCTATCCATCTTGATTCACATCAAATATAACGTCAGTAAGTGCTGGTCAATTTACCGACAAAAGAACCCATAAAACCGTTTGTTCAATTAAAATGAAAATATTTTGAAAATTCAACCAAAAACATTTGATTTAATATTAAAATTGTGAAATTAAACAAATTTGTAATTTTTACACACACAAAAAAATGTGATTTTATTATCGACAGTGCGGATGCGATTAAATTATTTGCCAAGCCCAACAGGTAATTGTTTTGTTAATGATATAACCTTATAATATTGTTGTTATTTATACGCGGCTGTGATCCAAAAAAGTACAAGCCACTTTATTACTGTTTTTTTTTTATTTTGTTGAACGCGCATTAATAAAAAAATAAAAAACGACAGAAATAATTAATTTGTGGTTTGAGGCGATTCGCGGGAAGGTTACGACGACGTTGGTGATGATGTTGTTATAATTATTGAATTTGACACAAACGTCCGTGAAATAAAAAACACGTTTACATATAATGATAAAAAACAAACCGGCGCCTGCTCTGGTAATGCACCAACGGCACCTGTATGGTGGAAAAGTCTTCTTTCAGTTGTGACAGTAGCGACAACAACAATTATAGATAGTTAGATAATGGTAATAGAATAAGGTCTGAACAAGATTCGTCAGACTGTTTTCTTTATAGAGCGCACAATGCGTCTTCCTACATATAATATAATATTGTATTATTATTATACTTGTACGCTTACTTTGTTGCCGAGAATCGCTTTGCCGTCCGGGCCAAGACCAAGGACATACACATTCGGTCTCCCGGAGGACTTCATTAATTAACGGCTGTTATCAAAATGAAATATTAAATACAATATTGTGACAACCGGCGACAGACGCACAAACCGGCGCCAGAAGATTTATTATTAAAACTGTGTATTGTGACGGCACAAGTCAAAACGCAATCTCAACTGACGGCACGCGAGTGCGACTTGAACAACCGGCTTTAACTGAGCTTGTCGAAGAGAGGTTTTCTTTATTTTCCCTATTCTTTCGGCTAACCCGTGACCCGGCCCCGAACACTTATCGCGTGCTCGTTGGCTATATTGATGTCGAGCAACTGGCGCCGAGCCATACAGACCGTGTAGGTGCGAGACATGGGTGATTTACAGCGGACACCCGAAGCACAAAATAAAATAGCTACTCAGGTATTAACTGATAAGTTACGAGTAAACTGGAACAACGATCAAAATATGGAAAAACAGCGGAAAAGTACACATGGAGTGAAGAAAAATATGTAGGTGAATTTTGCAAGGGTCGAGTTTCCAGTAAACGCGGCTAAATGTGACCGTTACACATAACTGTATAGTAATATGTCAAGAGGAAAGTCGAGCAATGAAGAAGGCGACAGGGCAACGAGTCGGAAGAGACGGAGAAATGCAAGAACGACAATAATCAAGGAAGACACGGGAAATTCGCAGAATGAATAGAAGGGATAGGATTTGGGTGGTCCGGTATCTACTTGACGTGTGGGATGAGTAGAAAAATAAAAAAGCTTTTATATTATGCAAAATATTAAAATATGTCAAAATACGTTGACGGTGCCACGACACTTGAAAGAAATTATTACAACCAGACTTTGTGTTCAAGCCAAGTATGAACTTGACTACGATTTTGTAGACACGTTTCTTACGTGACAGAATTAGCGTTAACTTATGTCATGCGATTCAATGACCATAATATATTTTTACCGACGACCCAGCGATTACACGGTATCAGTGGGAGGGCCTAATTGATGTCAAGTATACATATTATGTGACGCAAAAACTAATATGTGGCCGCCTGTTGGTTTAAATGTCACTTGAAGCCGCATTAAACAAAACAATGACTCGTGTAATAAATTAGTGTACAATAAGATTGTACTATGATAGCATAAACACAAACATAGTTATGTATAAAATATGTAAATATATAAAAATTATAATTTAATGACGATTTTTTTTTTTAAAAATTACTTTGGCTAAGCTATAGACACTTTTCCCAAAGAGATTTTTTCCATTTTTGTTGAGTGTTGGTAGAACAAACCGGCAAAGCCGAAATATCCATCGATTTATAAGGTTAGGTCGATTGTCGATCAAAAGTTGCACCGTATCAAGTTAGTAATCGGTTTTAACCAAAATCAGAGAAAAGCCATCTCATTAATATTATAACTCTGGAATAAGTTATTTCCTCCGCAAACAAGTATAGCTTGCCATTATACCTATACTAACGGGTTTTTACATTACATTATGTTTTTTCAGCTTCGATACGAAAATGAAAAGGTATTTTTTTTTTTTATTGTTGAATCGTAGACCGAGTGAGCTTGAAGGAATTTTGATAACGTTCCAATGTGAACAAGGATTTTTTTTTTATATATTTGGATTAATCGGTCTTGTGAACCGGTTAGCGACGGCGGTTCCTTTTATTTATTTTCTTATTACCCTCCCGAGGATCTCTGCCGTTTGCCGGTCCATATCGGTATAGGTTGAATTCACGTGATAACCCAAGAGAAATCTTAACGTTCTTTGCTACTTCGATAATTGCAGGATCGAAGCATTGTCCTTTCCTAAATTGTTTAGATGTTTTTAGATCCCCAGTACAAACGGGAACTTTTCACAGACCGTCCAAAATCACAAGTATACAGACTAGTGTTTAGATTTAAATGCCGACTGAACATATATTATGTATTGTGTGGTAGTATAAGACACGATATATAAACCAGTTTACACGCAAGAACGTTATTCATTGGCTCAAATGTATCATGTCTATTATACATATGGATAAAATGTTTTGAAAATATATAGAATAAATTGTTACAGTTCAACTGTATTTAAAAATTGTCACAAGCTCTACAAGGGTAATAGTGACAAAGAACATGTCAACAGTGTATTTTTTCATACAAACGGTAATTGAACTAACCCGCGTACAAAAATTGTGTTTTTTAGATATCTTCAAAAATTGTATATTATAAATTTCATCGATAAATTCTAAATAAAAAAAAAACGTTTTTCTATCATTGTAACTTTATGTTTAAAACGCTTTTCTTTGAAATTTGATACGGTAAACGTTTTTTTCTGGTGTCCTTGTCTTCCACATACCGCTGCTACTATTATTCGGAGACGTTCGACGGTTTTTCAGTGTGTTAACCTACCATAGAATAATAATTATTTATTTTCTCTACTATGTAGTATCGGTCACTCGGTCGTCATCGGCCGAAGGTCGACGCTATTATTTTACCAATATTTTCCTCCCAATGGAGAAATGTTTGTGGTCGGTAATGTAAGGGGACGTTGCTTCCGAAAAAGCAATATTGTATTAGAGTAATGTTTTTTAAATTTTAGACCGTCATAACAAGCACCTATAACAAATGAAAAAAATACACTTGGTCTGGCCATTTTTTTGTGATCGTTATGAAAAGTCAATAGTGAAATTCCTACGGAAATTGAAAAAGTATTGGGAGGATTTGGTTTTTAAACTTCAAAAACAAATCAACTGTACGATATACTTTGTCGTGTCTAATTTTAAGCATTTACTACGTTTAAATTAATACAAGTCATTGTATACATAAAAGATACTGGAACAAACCCAAATTAGGAATGTAGTACGTGGGCGGAAGATTTAATTTTTTTAATATCCAATGTAATTTTCACAGAGCACATAGAGAAAAATAATTACCCGTTCATTTCTAGATTAAGATAATATATTATTATGTTGTTCGGTAGTACTTAAAATCCGTGAATTTTTGGGCTGGTTAAATGTGGGCGAATACTAAATTTTTTTAATTAACATAGGTACTAAAATGTAGTACGCTTATGAATGTCATCTACATAAATCCCACATAAAATATGTAATAGAAAATGTATACCAACATTTGTTCATCGAAGATATGTATTAACATATTATTATTTTTACACAGTATATTTGATTAAAAAACCCTTTTTAGTGGTAAATAAAAGAAAAACATTAGTGTAAACTTATTTTGCGAAATTGTTCAGAATTCGTTCATGTATTTTTCCAGAAAAATATTTGAACACAACATTTAAAATCTAGGAATTTTCTGGGAATATTTTGTATGGCCAAACTTTCTGGGCTTAAAAATGGTTCACTGTTCTTATTTTTATAGTCAATACTCAAGCCATTTTGCTGGATATTTCTATTCCACGATTGTGTTAAATGAAAGCGACATCCGTGTATCTTTATCTGAGGCCAAACAGCATGGACATTGGTAATTTATGCAATTTGGAAAAGTGGTAGCAACCCTAAAATATTAATATTTCTGTGATTTTATCGATTCGGGCGCTGTTTAAATTTCATACCGATGATAAGAAACTGGGCGCAGTTTACATATAACCTTTTTCCACTTGATAAAAACTCGGGTGCAGTTTACATATACCCTTTTTGAACCAAATTATAATCGGGGCGCAGTACACGTATGCCCATCAAAATGACAAAAATATACGTATCTAGTAGGTAACTCTTATGCCGGGTCCACACAGAGCGAACAATATTAAGACAAAACCAAAACACGACGTTTTTTGACAATTTTGTTTTTTAAACAAAATGTTTTGTTTGTTAAGAACATAACCGTGTCCCGTTCGTGGTGGGAAATTTTATAGAAGTTTTTGTGTTGTTTTTGTTTTTATGAACACTAAAGGTCGGTGAGGACACAAAACTGTGTTTAAATATTAATTGTTAATTGTAATTAAATATTAATGTGTTAAAAACAAGTCATATTAAGAACTTGTTTATATTATACCAATGTCATCATCCCGTAAATCATTTAAAAGTTCATTGATTCATATACATTTATTTTTTATAACGTTGGTATTACCCAAAAACTATTTTAACTTTATTTATTTTGAACATTTAAATAAATATATCCGGCACCCAACATTAGTATATC